GGAGCCCTGTTGTGGCACTGTAGGATAAGCACTGGACTGCTGACCACAGGTCAGTGGTTCAAATTCACCAGCCACTCCTTGGGAGCCCTCTACAGGGTCGCTATGAGTCAGAACCTACTCAACAGCACTTAACAACAACAACCTTGTTTATTTCAGGATTCACGTTTCATGTTGTAGAATTCTCTGGCTTGGTTTTCACAAATGCACAAGGTCATATCTTCACCTTGACAGTAACTTGCAGAATGTTTCACAGCCCTGAAAATGCCCAGGTTGCATCTGTTCACCCCTCTCCCTCTGAGCCCTTAACAGCCACTGACCTTTTGTACTATCTCTGTTATTGTTGTTAAGTACTGTGGAATTGGTTCTGACTCATTGCTATCCTATATAGGATTTTCAAGGAGCAGCTGGTGGGTTTGAACTGCCAAACTTGTGGTTTGAAGTCCAGAGCTGATCCTACAGCACCACAATGGTTTCAGAAGGTCTTTTAAAACATGTGATATGAACATGCCATTCCCCTGCTTGTCACCTATTTTGCCTCACCATCATTTATGGAATACATGACTTTCCCAACCTCCTTACAAGGCAGTGGTTGTAGGGAGTCAGAAGTGCTTACAGGAATCAGAAGAACGCCGGCCTCACCCTGTTACCATTTGTGTGACCTTGGGAAAGTTCTCTACTGTTGGAAGATGATTTCCCACGGGTCTCTCATGTTTCTGCACATCTCATCAGTAGAGGCACTGGCAACTTTTCTTAGGACTGTTTGCTTGGAGTGTTTCTCTCTGAAGCAGTGGGTCAGTTTGTTAGCTGATCAGTGTGATAAAGATGATACCTCTCTGTGGGAAAGCTTGAACTGGTTGCTTACAGAACATTATAAGAGAACAGGTTTCCTAATCTTATGTTTTCTCAGTTGTGATGTAAATCTTTTGTGTGCATAGCATCTTTCTGGTTCATCTACATTACCCCATAGGGGATGGGGAACTAGTGCAAACATGAAGTTCATGCTGCCCTCTGTGCTGTGAATAATAAAGTTCTTTGTCTCCAACCCAGGAATCTTGACTCTTCTGCCAGCATCCATGAAACCAAAGTAGTCTACTTTGTTAACTTGAGAGTAAAATTCAAACCCTCTACAATTCTGGATACAACCCCTCTTTGCCTCAGTTTTCTGATCTATAAAATGGGAATGCTGGAAGTGAAGAGGACTTAAAATACATACTGATGAAGATCAAATACTACATACAGCCTTATGTATGGATTGCACCTCAATGTAACAAAAACAAAAATCCTCACCACTGGACCAGTAAATAACATCCTGATAAATGGAGAGAAGATTGAAGTTGTCAAAGACTCATTTTGCTTGGATCCACCATCAACATTCATGGAAGCAGCAATCAAGAAATTAAATGATATATTGCATTATGTGAATCTGCTGCAAAAGGCCTCTTTAAAGTGTCCAACAGCAAAAATATCTGTTTGAGGACTAAAGTGCCCCTGACCCAAGTCATGGTATTTTCAATCACTTCATATGCATGTGAAAGTTGGAGAATGAATAAGGAAGGCTGTAGATGAATTGATGTATTTGAATTATGGTGTTGGAGAAGAATATTAAAAGTGCCATTAACTGTCAGAAAAACAACCAAATATGTACTGGAAAAAGTACAGTCAGAATGTTCCTGAGAAGCCCAGATGGCAAGACTTCATTTCTCATACTTCAGCCATGTTCTCAGAAGGGACCAGTTCCTGGAGAAGGACAGCATGCTGGGTCAAGTGGAGCTGGATTGGCACAATGTCAGCAGCAATGGGTTCAAACACAACAACAATTGTGAGGATGGCACAGGCCTGGGAAGTTTTGTTCTATTGTGCATAGGGTCATAATGAGTTGGAACCAGCTTAATGGCACCTAACAACAATGGTAGACATTCTGCCATTGTTGTGAGCTCTAAATGAGAGGGGATACAGAAGGCAACATGGTATATGGAAAGTTTCAGTAAATGTTGGATTTTATTATGTTAGCTTCTCTCAGTTTGCAAAGCTGTTGATAATCTGGACCTTGCTCACTCCTCCAGCCTCATCTCCCATCCGTGATACCTGGAGAGGGTCCGTCTCAACAATACCAATCTGGGTTTAGCTCTCTCTCCAAGAATACCATGTATTTTTTCTCCTTGCCTTTATTCATGTTGCCCCTACTTTGATGGCTCCTTCCTCTATTCTTCTTTATCCTCAGCATTCGTAGGGGGCACCACCCAAAGTGGCTTCTCAGTGAATGTTTGCTGCTCGAGGCAGAGTTGGGAGGCTAGGCCTGGGAATCCCCAAAGCCGTCTCTCCTGAGCTCTGAGGGAAAAAAAAAACAAAAAACAAAAAAACCCCAGCCCACTATGGTTGAGTTCATTCCAACTCATGGCGATCCCATGTGCTACAGAGTAGAGCTAAGCTCCATAGGGTTTTCTTGGCTGTCATCTTTATGGAAGCAAAGTGCCAGACTAGTTTTCCATGAACAAACCATTTGTACTGCCCAGGCTCTAGGAGAAACCCCTCCTCGTCCCTAATTCCAACACAGAATCCTTCCAACTAGTCTCAAGAGAGCATCTTAAGACAGCAAGAGTCCCTATGACTTCCCATAAACACTCACTTCTCCTAAGGTTTTCATCTCCTCCCTTCCATCCCATTCTGAGGACGAGGAAGAACCAAGAACAAGATAAGCTCAGAGATCTCATTTTCTAGTGGGGAGGCAGACAGTAGACCAATCAATAAATGAACAAGCTAGTTTGTGTTATTGTGTGTTCTCGAGTCAATTCTAATTCATAATGACCCTACAACAGAATATAAAACTGCCCCATAAGAGCAGTTCACCTAGGATGGAATTTTTATAGGAACAGAGCTCAGGTTCTTTCTCCTGTGGATTTAAGCTACCAACCTTATTGTTAGAAGCTGAATGCTTAACCATTGTGCCACGAGGGCTCCTTTCAAACCTGTGATGGTGATAAGAAATATGAACAAAATTTTAAAGTCATACGATAAAAAGCTATAAGATGTGTGTGTGTGTGTAGCTGAGAGATGGAGTATTATTGGATTTGTTGTTGTTCTTGTTGCTAAGTGCTGCTGAGTTGGTTCTGACCCATAGTGACCCTGTAAAGGAGTGCCTGGTGAGCTTGAACCACCAACCTTGCAGTACAAACCAAACTTGCAGTCCAACTCATTAACCCACAGCACCACACCAGGACTGTCACAAAGGCCTGTATTTGAGCAGAGAGCAGCATGACCTGAGACACCAGTCATGCAGAAATTTGGAGACAGACTGAGTGTTGTAAGCAGAGGGAACAGTGAGTCAAAAGGCTCTGAGGCAGATATGATGGTAGGGAGTCACACTTCCTTGATTATTTTTAATTCTCTTCAGCTTCAACCTGAACTTGCATATGAGCAATTTAATGGTCTCTTCCACAGACTGCTCGTGACCTTGTTTTTGCTGATGATATAGAGCTTTTCAACTGTCTCTTCCCGTAGATTAAAGAATAAAGCCCTCAGTTTGGGTTTCACCTGAATGTGAAAAAAAAAAAAAAAAAATTCTCACCACTGGACCAATAAATAACATCATGATAAATGTAGAAAAGATTATAGTTGTCAGAGTTCATTTTGCTTGGATTCACTATCAACATTCATGGAAGCAGCAGTCAAGAAATCAAACATGTTGCATTAGGCAAATCTGCTGCACAAGACATCTTTAAAGTGTTCAAGAGCAAAGTTAGTTTGAGGACTAAGGTGCACCTGACCCAAGCATGGTATTTTTAATAGCCTCATATGCATGTCAAAATAGGACAATAAATAAGGAATATTGTAGAAGAATTTATGCATTTGTGTTACGCTGTTGGAGGGGAATGGTTTTGGAAGAAGTGCAGCCAGAGTGCTCCTTAGAGGCCAAGATGGCCAAACTTCATCTGTCATACTTCGGACATATTGTCAGGAGGAACCAATCGCTGGAGAATGATATCATGTTTGGTAAGGTGGAGGGTCAGAGAAAAAGGAAGACCCCCAACGAGATGGATTGGCCAAGTGGCAGCATTGATGGATGCAAGCGTGGTAACAGTAGTGAGGCTGGCCCAGGATCGGGCAGTGTTTCGTTCTGCTGTGCATAAGGTCGCTATGAGTTGGAATTGACTTGATGGCACCTAACAACAACAACAATGGACTGCCAGAAGAATAAACAAATCTGTGTTAGAAAAAATACAGCCAGAATGCTCCTACTTGGGTCATGCTATCAAGAGGGAACAGTCATGCTTGGTAAAGTGGTGGGTCAGTGAAGAAGAGGAAGACCTCTAATGAGATGGTTTGGCACAGTGGCAGCAGCAATGGGCTCAAGCATAATGACAATTGTGAGGATGGTACAGAACCAGACAGTGTTTTGTTCTGGTGTGTGTATTGGTCGCTCCAAGTCATTACTGACTCGATGACATGTAACAACAACAATAGCCCTGAGTGCCTCATTGGGAATGATGGCAAGTAGAACTTCTGGGTTCTACACCTTGGCTCCTGGATCTGTGTAATACTCGTACTGGGGACACAGTGCTTTACAGAGGTCCCTTATTCAGAATATATACCATCCTGGAGGATGAAACTACAGAACAGTATCTGATATGAAAGTGGGTCCCATGCTCATGGCCCACGCCCACACCTCCTTTTCTGTGGAATGGTTTTCTTGTTGGATGCTATAGTCTGTGGAGTTGCATGTGTGGTGTTCGGGTACTCTGTAAATTCATAGATAATAGTGCTGCTGAGGTTCTGAAGGATGTAAGGCTAACAGATACCTCAAATAAGTGTCGATTCCCATGAGAACAATGCACTGGTTCTTCTAGGACAGTGCCCCTTGTACAGTCATTGTTGAGAACTGAGAGAGAGACCCTGGTGCACTATGGTTGGCACCATGGTGGTCTGGGCTGCCTTCTGCTCTCTGGCTCTACTTGGGCTTAACCTGGATGTATGGTTCCATCTGACAGTGGGTTGTTGCGTTCTGGACCTACTGATTTTATGATTTCATAGATCTGATCAATTCCAGCTCATGATTGGGTGCTTGGGACACCTGGTCACTTGATGTCCTCTTGTCAAGTCTGTTTTCTACCAGGACCCAGTAACTCTCTGTTGAAGATGACCTTGCCTTGCATTGTGATTCACCCATTGTGTGTGGCCATCAACTCCATGCTGCATCCATTTCTCCCACTGACCATCCCGGTACCATCAGAACTGTGGTCCAAGCAGCAGGGAAGCTTGCAGGGCAGTCAGTACCTAGATCTCATCTCAAAAGCCTTAAATTACTCACATCTGCAAAGTCCCTATTTCCAAACAAGGAGCATACACAGTACCGGGGGTTAGGACTTAAGACTTTCTGCAGGACATAATTCTACCCTCTGTTGTTAGGAGCCATCGAGTTGGTACCGACTCACAGTGACCCTATGCACAGCAGAACGAAACCCTGCCCTAACCTCACTACTGTTGGTCCTGGGCCAACCTCACTACTGTTGCCACGCTTGAGCCCATCGATGCTGCCACTTTGCCAATCCATGTTGCTCGGGGTCTTCCTCTTTCCCCAAGGATTGGGAAGTGGGGGCTAGGTACGGAGAGAGTTGCCAGTGTTCATACTCCTTGCAGAGCACCTCCGTCTCCTTATCTGTTAAGTGGAGTCCAGTATACTTGCCTCATGGGCTTGTGATGAGAATTAATTGAGATCAGGTGTAATGCTGTGTGACCTAACCTCCCAGGAACACAAGGGCAGGACTGTTACTTACTCTGCTTCTCTGTGTTTTCAGGGTATGGTAGTGCCTGACCCATTGCAGATACCCAATATGTATTACCTACCCCTTCCTCATTTATTCTTAGCATATATTGAGCTCACTGCCATCGGTCAATGCTGACTCAGAACCATCCTTTAGAACAGACTAGAAACTGCCCCATAGGATTTCCAAGGCTGTAATCTGTCACAACTTCCTCCCAAAGAGCAGCTGGTGGGTTTGAACT